TAGCGTGTTGCTAAGCTATCTAACCGAGAGAAGCGAGACACCGAGAGGAATAACGTTTTATACGAGACGACGAGAGAGGCTAACGGGTGGGTGGTGGGGGACGGTCTAACATATGATTGCCCTGCTTATCCTTATCCTTATCCTTGACTATCGTATTGTTATCGTAAGTTATCGTATCGTAGTCTATCGCGTTTCTTATCCTTGTCTTGACTATGGTATCGTGTTTCTTATCCTTGACTTGCTTATCGTATCGTAGTCTTGACTATCGCGTTTCTTATCCTTGACTTGCTTATCGTATCGTAGTCTTGACCATCGTGATCCTTATCCTTGTCTTTGCTTGTTTTCTTGATTTTTTGCTATCGTAGTCTTGACTATCGTATTCCTTATCCTTATCCTTATGGCCCGGGTCGAATCCTCGTTCAGACTTTGCTTGATTTTGCTTGATTTTGCATTTTTATCGGAGTAGTTCCCACGGTTGAGTTGCTTTGTTGAACCCTTCGATTTCGAGTATTTGCTTATAATTCATTAGGATCTTATCCTATTGATGTCATTAGACTATGGATAGACTCCCCTTGACGAGGGCTACGACATTGGTTTTCATCAATTAGTTGATCAGGTATTAGCTTACATAATGTCTTTGTCTTGTCATGGAGTCAAGCCTCCGATGGAACTGTTCCAGTGGAGATCATTGTTGTCCACACCCTGGTACTCTGTGACCCTCCAGTGGAACGGTTCCAGTGGAGATCATTGTTGTCGATACCCTGGTACTCTGTGACCCTCCAGTGGAACGGTTCCAGTGGAGATCATTGTTGTCGATACCCTGGTACTCTGTGACCCTCCAGTGGAACAGTTCCAGTGGAGGATTATATTTGTGAAATGTCTTGAAACGACCCCTTCTTAACCACGACCCATATAGAAAAGTGCTATATAATGCCCAGATTCAACCTCCCCTGTTCTGGGCATTTTTGACATGTTGAGAAATGCCCAGATCTGACCCCCCCCCTGTTCTGGGCATTTTTGACATGTTGAGAAATGCCCAGATCTGACCTCCCCTGTTCTGCGCATTTTTGACATGTTCAGAAATGCCCAGATTGTGCTCTTTGGCTAGCCATAACCTGGGTGTAACCAATACCAGGTTACAAATGTGCCCTTAGAATATCTACAGGGTGTTGGTTTCACACAAATCCGACATTTGGAAATTTGCGTGATATGGGAGTTCAGAAGTGTGACATGTATATACCTACAGGGTGGTTTCACACAAATCTGACATTTGGAAATTTGCGTGATATGGGGGGTCAGGTATGCCATGTATATATTTGCAGGGTGTTGGTTTCATGCAAATCTGACATTTGGAAATTTGTGTGATATGAAGGGGTCATATTGACTTAATGTTGGTTTCACACAAATCCGACATTTGGAAATTTGCGTGATATCAGGGTCCTGGACACACCATAACCAAGGTGTAACCATAATGGACTTGCAGAAACATGCTTAGAATGTTATGAGAGCATGGCACCAGACACTACGTCCCTTTGTACCAATGCAGATCCCAAATTCCTGGACTCTGAATTTCCAGATCTAAGTTTCCATACCCGTCTTATTATACCTGCATTGAGACATCGTCAACATGTCGTTTCACTCACCTCTATCAACAACATCCGATACCCAATGAACGTGTATCGAGGAAATCGTCTCTGGAGACCTGATGGAGTAGAAGACGAACAATTGATCCTGGCTGAACATTATATTCAGATGTCGCGCGCGTTTCCAGAAGGCACCTTTCCTTCGAGATTGAGTAACCCAGGACGACATTGTGCGGGCTGGGCTGGATGATGGGAATAAGCTATATGTTTGAGAGGAGTCAGAAATGGAAGTTGGAGACAGTACTCAAATATGCGATATGGTTCGTTATCATGGACACTGGCGGCGTTCGCCACTGCAAAGTTGAAACTGAACCTTCAATGCGTGCTGTCACGGCGGGCACTGCTGGCAGTGTGTAGGTGCGAGTCCTGTAAAAATCGTGCTAGAACTCCTCGGGCAACACAGGTGCTGGGGCCTCAGGCTGACAGTGTCGAAAGATCTGTCGTGTGGAAATCTTTGGTACTACACATCAATGTACCTCTGGGTAGGTACTTGGAGTTGTCCTCAATTAAGCATGTATGTTGTGTAACGTCGACAGAAAATCCAATACAAGGGTGTGTGCGTATGCTAAAGAGATCGCGCAGATGCGTTTGGGGTTAAACAAGAGGGAAAATTGGAAAGACTCGATGCGCATTGCGTATGTATTACTAAATAAGATGATGCAGAATGAAGTGGGAAATGAAATGTGAACTGAAAACACAACCAGAAACACAAATCACCTAGAAAACGTAGATTTGAACTCGATATACAAATGCCAAAGGGGGAAAAAGCAACCGTCCGCCAAATCCCAACACAGAGAAACTTAATCCAGGGGTACCAAAAAACTCGCCATGCCCAGCCCACTTCTCCCCTAACTTTCGCATCTTCTGCCTCCCTCCCTCCGCATCATGCAATGCTCTCCCCGACAACGTAGTCAGACCATCCTCTCCGTCATTCCACATATACGGTATCCGTATGGCGTTCTGGGGTGCCCGTACTCCTGAGCATCATCAAGAACGTATATCACCAGATCGTAGCATCGAAGAACGGTAAACCCCGATACGAAACTCCCGCGGGTGAATACACATGTGGTATCGCAGCGCATTGGTAGAGCGGCGCGCAGCCCTTGCAAGTCAGTGGGTACGTCGAGTGGGGTATGTGGTGAGTGTGTTCGGGTTGGCGTAATTGGCATTTGGTATGCAGGCAGCGCACTATCTGTGGTATAATAACTTGGTGCCAGTGAGCTCGGAGCCCCGAGGCTCTTGACAGAACTGGATCGTGTCCTGTGGTGTGACGGCCGCAATGTATCTGTGATCTTACTCTTTAGGCTCGGCCGTCTCTGCGAGCCACGCCCCCCGGCCTCTGTCGTTGTCTTCCTGCTCCTCGTCAAACATGGCGAATGACGACGGGCTTGGTGGGGGATCAAGTACAAAGGGTATATTGCTGAGTATCGGCCAGGCAGACTCTTCATTCGTGTGGGCTTGAGGCGCGGTGGAGAGGCGCTATTGCGAGACTGTGATGGCGGCTGTAGGGCAGAAGGCATAGGTGGTACATCCTCGATTCCTCTCCCAGCACTCGTACCGAGACCGGGGTATTCTTGTATGACTTGCCCAACTTCCCAGATTTACCAGAACGCAGTGACTCATCGGAGGGTTTGCGGAGAATAGGACCGGTGGGAATATTGTTCGTACTCCCACTGCGTCGTCGACCAGTCATATCGTAAGAGTTGGAGTGCGAGGGTGGCGTGCGCGATGATGGGTTAAACGAGGAAGACAACGATTGTGAACTGCAGTGGTCATAGGAGTTTTGAGGATTGCGAGGCTCGTAAAAACTTTGCGAATTACGAGGGTCGTAGGAATTCTGTGAGCTGCGAGAGTCATTCATTCGGTAGAGTGTGTCGTATGATCCAGAACCAGACGAATGACGCGCATCATACTCCTTCTCCCGCGCATACTTCGTTTCATCCCTCCTAGACCGACCCTCATATGACTCCTTGGACGCATATCGGGTATCGTACGACCCCTGGTGCTGATGCTGCTGCTGCCTTGGGCGCGTAGGTGATACCTGCGGATCGAGAGGGCCAAGTGCGGCAGCAAGGTTTGCTGATTTGCACCTTGCGGTGGTGAAGTACGATGTTGCACGTGCTGCGGTATTTGGTACTGTGGAATCACAGGACGCAGCCGCTCCATCTTCTTGGGCGATTGACAACCGCTAACGACCCAAGCACGCCCAACACATCGCCCCATCGTTCGCGCCAGACACGAACTGTCTCGCCTCCACCCGCTGGTCGGTCCGCGTGCTCCATACTGTTTTCTTGTTACTCCCGCACCTCCATCTCCAAGGCCTTCTCCCTCTACCCGCAGCGCATCCCACAACTCTCCCCACCGCTCTCTTACAACTCCCCAAAATGCTTCCATCCCCCTGGCTAAGTCTGACCACCACCCCATCAATCCCACGTTCCAGCAGCTTTACATACACAGGCAACTCCAGCGCAAGCTGCCCTCGCAATGCAACGTAACTCTGGCTTGCCTGTAGTAGCGCCTCTGACGGGCGTTGCTTGCGCGTGATTGGGAGGTGCAGAAGGTGCATATGCAGCGGGTGGAGAGTGTGCAGTGCACTGAGAAGCTTGAGTGGCGCAACCGATGTGCCTTTGAGGGATTGGAGAGAGGGGAGGATGTGTGCGTGGAGCTCGTGCTCGAGATCTTGTACGAGATCGACTAGTCCGGTACAGAGCGAGAGGACGCATCGAAAGCCTCACTTTGGCCGGTCCCTAAGGCATCTGGTGAAGAAGGGGGAGAGGGATTCGAACTAGAATTGTTCAGGGACAGTTCAGGGCTGACGGTGACGCCAATGACGCCTGCAAATGCCCATCCCCACTTGACGAGCGCCCCGAACAACGTATGGAGGTCGAGCGTAGCCAAATGCATCCCGAGCGAGGTGGGAGAGAGTAGTGATGTGCGACTTGAGCCTACTTCGAGGGCTACAAGAAGGGCAGCTTTCAGCGTTTTCAGGGTCGGGTTCTATTTCTAAACGTGGATGGAGCCTTTTTGTTTCGAGGATGACTTGGCGGACGAGGCCAGGGACTTTGGTGTGCGCAGAGAACGCATGCGGGAGACGGAGGCGTTCACAACGCCCACCTTGGGGATGCCGATAGATCCCATACCACCTGCTCCAGGGCCGTCTTTGGCGTGTCCAGACCCGAGGACTTCTCTGACGACTTCTACCCGCCTTCGTCCCTCATTCACAGCGCGAGCTACTTTCTTCCACCTTCTGCTTCGCCTCCCTCAGTTTATCGAGCCCTTCGGTTCCTTCCCTCAGTTTCCCAAAGGCCTCGCCTATGCTCTCTGAAGTTACAACAACGAGCGGGCTTCGGGAGTAGCACTGATCACAGCGCCCAGCAACAACCCGTACTTTAGCAATCTTGAACCGGCTTGATTAACAAACTCGGTAGGTCCCAAGCATGCGTGTGCGCTTCAACAAGTTCTTTGCTTTCCTTGAGCCACCGCGAGAATTGAGGCGTGAGCTGCGGTGGTGTGCTGAGGGCGTCGATGTGTGCGAGGTGCGCGAGGGTGCGCGGTGATATAAGTCGTGTATGGGGGCGCAAAGAGGGGTACCTGGTTAAGCCATCACTGTGAAGTTGCACCCAATATCGAGAGGGACTAAACTCACCACCTCCAGGAAAACTTCGCCACCGCCTTTGCCTCCTTCTTCAATCGCTGTCTCAAGCTTTGACACAAGCATGTCAGAAGAACAGCTAATTCGGAAATGTTGCGGAAAATGATTCGTATGTCGGCGACAGACAGTGGGGGCTCGCCCACCGGGCGTAAGACTTGTGTTGGAACCTTGGATTCAGTCAGAGGAACTACTAAATCAGCGATTAGTAAGTTGAGCAACCACAGAGAGTCATGGAAGGACCTATTTGCGTGAATGTAGGTACATTCAATTGGATAGAAGGCAGTTGAATTGTATCGTCGGTGGGCAAAGGCCCGAGACGGACATGTCGGACGTGGAGATAGTACTGACGTGCGTGAAGACAAGGACGAGCATGTACCCTGAGCTCGACTTGGTAGATTCGGAACTTGAGCTAGACCAGGGTTTGAAACTTCTGAACCCGAGACTGGGCGTGTACATGAGAAACCGAATGGTGGAGGGGTGACCTGGGGTAGATTAGAATAATTTTCAAAGGGATTAAAGAGAAGGAAGACTCACCAGACGCCAACCTCATATATACATCCCTGATGAGTGCTAAATCGCTTGCATAGGCACGTTCAGAGGTCAGAAGTTCGAGTAGAGCATGTTGGCGTTTTGTGATGGCGGGTGCGGGCGTAGGGGGTGCCTGTGGTCAGATCGTCCTCTGAGCGTCGTTGACTTGGACATCGCACTCCGATCCTCTGACAGCTCAAGACGGTTATCAGTTCGTGGTCTTGATTTCGTGGGTAGGGATGAGGGGTAGAGTAGAAGGAGGGAGAGGGAGTTCCTTGTCTTTAGGGAAACGAGTAGATTGTATAATAGTATGAACCGATTCCATGGTAGGAGTATGGCCGGCGTTAGCTGTATCAGCACCGACGGAATCGGTATAAGCAGCGACGGGTCCGGTATAGTTGGGTGTATAGGGCAGTAGGGAGGGTATCACCGACGAGGTGCTCTGTTTCCCTTTCTCTGTCGAATTCGTCCTCGAATTCGTCAACGACTCCAATAACGGAGTGGAGATCGGGCGTAGAGCCGAGAGCCTCTAGAAGTTGTGATAGAGATGAAAAGCTATGAGTCCGGAAGACGGGAACCATCTCTGGCTCTGGCGCTAATTGGAGCATTGGCAACATCTTGGCAGCTGTTGGCGCGTGGCAGGAGGCGCTGTGATAGGATGTGATGATCCAAGGGTTAATCCAATCGTTGGTTTTAGGCTGTGATTGCTGTAGATCTGGAGCTCTTGCTCTCTTGATCGTCGTTTAACTTCTTCCACAATCATAGAATTACGACCAGGTCGAAGTACTGATCTTGGTGGCAGCACAGGTAGCGCAGTACTAGACACCTCCAGACGGTTTGGTTGTGGTTGGCCTTGAGTTGATGTTGATGTAGCTGCTGGTTATTAATGGAATCGTGCCCGTTGCGTCCACCAGCCTCGAGGCTCCCAAAATCTAATTGCTCCGCCTCTGAACTTGCAATATCCGTCATTCTAATTTAGTTGCCAGCTGGCCTTGAGGCAGTTGTAGATCCGTTCAACGCTAGCTTATAACTTCGCCACGCTAAGTATAGGGCCTGGGCTGGCTGAGTTGGCTGGTACTCTCGTGTTCGCAGCCTGTCCACTGCACTTATGCTGTATCAACGTTAGCATCGACCTTCATGCTGACCATTGAAGGCGCTCGGGCGCTCGACTTGCCTATCTCAGCCTGCCTTCTTCGTGTGCCCTTCGTGTGGTTCCCTTGCCGATGCATATCACTATCTTCCAAAGTGCCGGAACGTGGTAAAAGAGAAACGAGATACAGTCAGTAATCTCGACTTCCCACCGCTCCCTTTACTCCACTGCCAGCTCACCATTTGAAACTAGGCTTCGCTATGAGCCAAATTTGCTGGACTCCGCGAGTTGTAATCGGCGAACACCAACAAAATCCGCTCAACAGCGCGTCACAATTCGTTCATCAAGTTTCAAACTCCGGCCATGCATGCGGCAGGCCTATCATAGGCAGGCCGTTCTACGCCGTTTGACACCGCCTGCGCACTATGTGCAGGGACGTTCGCACACGAGATACCATGCACAAGATAAGTATTGGCCTGCCTGCTCCTTGTCTGCTTTTTCCAAGGTCGCCGTGGTAATGTGTCCAAGTTTTCCCAAACCCATACTGGCATCAATCGCACACGCAATTGCCGTGGGCTATACCTCGTTGCTCTGGGGGTTGTTCGTGGTTGCGCCCGGACTGCATCCATTCATGATTACATTCTCTGTGATGTTATTGAAATACGTAGACATAAATCTTTGAATAAATGTGCCGTACCCTCGAGCAAGGGTACGGGCTTCCAACTTGCTGCTCTCTGAACCACTCCCCTGTTCTACCCGAAAGCTAACCGTTGTTGGTGATGAGGGTATGAAGCCTAGCGAACGTCAATCCAGGAACGAACTACATAAGCGTGTAGCCTCATGACCAAGCCATGATATGAAAGTTCACATCACAGTTAGCACAGGGGCATTTGTATCCAGCTATACTTTCTTGAGATCACCACTTATGTGAGTAATGAGGAAGATATGCTTAGGATGAATGTCATACATTGCCATCTCAGATCCCCTGAAACATCACCGGTGGAACCTCTTTGTTGTGCTACCGCGTAAGAAGGAAGCTCCAGTTCGCATCGTTGGGATGTGATTCCGAGTGCGCGGTCGCTCCTCAATCCTGCATTCGAGAGTCTTGAATGCTGTTGCAAACAGGAGGTAGGGGTCGTAGCGGACCCATCTTTAGAAGTATCTCGTTTACTTCAATTTAACAAGTAATTTCTTGTGCCACTGCGTGATGAAGCAGTTCGCATCGTTTGGCTATGAGGATGCAAGTCATCGCTCACCTATATCCACAGGCATCCCGTTTACTCCGAGCTGACGAGCCGGTTTCTTGTTGTAAAATTGCATCAGCCATAGCATAGAAATAAATATTTGTCGCATCAGCAAGGCCTGTTCTAAGTTGTATACGGAAACTGGACGCAAGGCATTAGACAGGTTTCCGGTGGAGGTGTGACTGTTTTATCTCTAGCCCAGTAGCATACTACAAGAGTATGAAGACTCACATGATCCACGCTACTGGTAAGATGTTCGTCGAGCTTGACATTCTTGAGTACACATACTGGGCAATCCAGGGTCAAGCGCCCAATATACGACGAGATAGCTCTGGCCTGCACTTGATTGATCTATTATGTTGAAGCTGTGGTTAGAAAAACCTGCACATTGAAATGCGTGAGCACGAGGAGCCCATGCGTCAGCGGCGTGTTCTCCTGAGTAGAATTCCTATCTTGAACTCAAACCCCTTAGTCCTGCCTAGTACCACGCTCCTAGTGGAAAATTGTCAAGCGTGAGTGAAAAGAAGTTTGTTCTCTATGATCCACGACCGCTTGGCGAATATTATACAGGAAAGGCTCAGTGTTTCGCCCTTCGATCCGGGGTATTCCGTCCACGCTCTAGGCTAAAATACAAGAATCCGCAGAAGTAAAAGACGTTTCAAGTTGTTGTCTAAAAGATCCGGCACCCCTGGGCGATTGCGCAGAAGACGCTGTCGCCAAATGTTCTGCCTTCTGATTCGATGATTACTAGAGCCTAGGACAGTCGAATACAAGGCTGGATACCATAGGCAAAGTGACTTGATGACAAGTTTGACGCTATAAAGGCCGTATTACTTATCGGAACGGCTGCGGGTCCACGTCCATAGGAGACAGCGCAATTTATTACAATGCGGATCTACGCCAGCCCACGGAACCAGTTGTCGGATACTGTTGTTTTTTTTTTTGAAAAAAAAATCATATCCATTGGTGGAAGACCCCCTTATCATCAGGAGGAGCATCTAGCAGCTAGTGAGTCGAGTGTTTTGAGTCGGGAAATTCGGCCAGGAATCTTCAGATTGCAAAATCTCAAAGGAAAAGTCGTTCTCACCTAAAAGAAGGATGGAAAGTTCAAATCAACGGTAAAAGACGTGAGGCTAGCTAGGCACCATGTGTTTGTGGTCATCCGCGGAATTTTGTGTGATGCGCAGGCGTGGAATATTTTTTTATTGACGCAAGTAGTATAAAATTGAGCTTTACCTGAAGCTTATCTGGAAGGAAAAGGGTTTCGGGT